CATTTGCTAAAGAGAAGCCCTTTATGGATATTGATATTGAAATGCCGGGTTCTAATAAATCCATTCTTGTCGGTGTTAGCTTAGGACTAGCAGTTGCCATCTTATTCACATTTGGGGTTAATCCATGCAGCGGGGAATGTATGGTATGAATCTTATTAGATCCCTTCGCGGTGGGCATAATGCTTCGTACACGACAGACAGTCGTACTCTACCTACTGAAATCTCTATCTTATTGAAGCAGATTCAGTCCATATCTAGTAAGAACTTGATAAAGCCGTACCCTAAGTTACTAATTCCGTGTTTGGAGTTTAGTGAACCTGTATCGGTCCGGGAGACAGACTTCCTCACCCTAAGTGTGATGGATCTCTTAGTAGGCTATGTTTATCCAGTCTTATTCGGGTACGCGAAAGTGAATATCATATTCTATTTAAAAAAAGGTAATAATGAAGAATTCGCTAAACCACTAAATCAACAGGCAATTCCCTTAACGTTGGATGATGGTACGCCAATCCCTAAGTCTGAGATATATGATCATGTCTATCATAGTATATTGGCATTAATTGAGATTTATGATGGATTTCAGGTTGTTAGAATAGCAATTCGAGCTTATTTTCAAGATGATATCAAAGAGTCTCCTCGTTTTAAAGATGAGTTGCTAGAGGAGGTTCTCTCTGAATGCTTTAAGCCTGTTTCTGGGGAATTCGAGATTGCCAATTTACCTGTTAAAAGTCTTCGTTCTACTTCTCGAGAGTATTCTAAGTATATAACAGTTCCTAGGAAATCGGGTAAGATAGACCTGAGACCGTTCTTGGTTGCCGATACTGAGACTATAATAATGGAGAATAGTCATCATGTTCCCTATGCTGTGGGTCTCATGGTGGTTCATCCGGGTATTCCAGTTAGGCTTGATAGTCTCACTACTTACTTCAGCGAAGATTACTCTTCCACTCTCTTCCCTACCTTTGAAGAAAGGAGCTCCCAAATGCTCAAATCTTTTATCTTTCGGGTTGAGACTATTACTCGACAAATTAGCTCGGCTAAAACCATCTACTTCCATAACTTAGGTCGTTTCGATGGCATTTTCCTACTGAAGCACCTAGCATTATATCATCCTAATTACACGGTCATGCCCCTTATGAGAGATAATAGACTCTATGAGATTGCTGTCTATTCTAAAAAGAAGAGGCTCTTATTTACCTTCAGAGACTCCTTACATCTACTCCCCGGCAAACTAGATGACCTTGCTAAGAATCTATGCCCTGAGTTAGGTTCTAAAGGTTCTATTTCCTATGAGGATGTAAGACTAGATAGTCTGAGTACTATGAAAGAGAGTTTGTTAGAGTATATGAAGCAGGATATTCTTCTTCTTGGTGGTATTATGCAGACCTTCCAGGACATATATTATAAGTCTTACCAGTCCGACATTGTAAAAAAGCTAACAATTGCCTCACTGGCTCTATCTCTCTTTCGTGAGAAATTTTACGATGAAAATAAGCACCGTATCCACATCCCTAATCAGAATGAGGATACTTTTATTCGTCGTGGATATTACGGTGGGCATACTGACGCATACACCCCATACGGGAAAGACCTATACTACTATGATGTTAACTCTCTCTATCCTTTTGTTATGAAGGAATTCCCAATGCCTGGGGGTATACCGGTCTGGCATTCTGATTTAGATACCATTCCATTAGATAGCATGTTTGGGTACATTGAAGCTTATGTTGAATGCCCTAAGAGTATAAAGAAACCCTTTCTTCCCTATCGGAATAAGGATGGCACTCTTATCTTTCCAACAGGCACCTTTGTTGGGGTTTACTATAGTGAGGAGCTCAAGTATGCAAGAGAGATAGGCTACACTATATTACCATTGTGTGGATACCTCTTCGAGGAGATGGAAAGTCCATTCAAGGGCTACGTTAACTCTCTCTTTGAAAGCAGATCCAATGCTAAAAAGATGGGAAATAACGCCCTTTCTTATGTATATAAAATACTAATGAACTCATTATATGGTAGATTTGGCATCAATCCTCAAAGTACAAAAACCGAGATGTGCAATAAATCTAGACGTGACCTTCTATTTAGACGCGCAGAGTTTATAGGCGAAGTCTTTCTTAGAGAGGATCTATACATGGTATCTTATCTTACCAATCCGGGTAAGGGGCCTTCTTATTGGGAGCCCCCGAAGAACTCCGCGGTCCAACTAGCCGCTGCGATCACTGCCAGCGCTAGGATCTATATGTACAAGTATACTTCAAGAGAAGACTGCTTCTATACAGACACCGACTCTATTGTCCTTGGTAATCCACTTCCGGAGGAAGATGTTTCCTCTTCTGTTTTAGGTAAATTCAAATTAGAAGATAGGATCTTGGAGGGATACTTTTTAGCACCTAAATGCTATTGCTATTCCACAGACGAGTCAGAAGGCAATAAGAAGGTCTTAAAGTACAAGGGAGCGGGTAAAAGTCTTATAACTCCTGAATGGTTTGAAGAGCAGTACGCCAACCCCTCCCGAACTCTGACGGAGAAGGTCACTTTTCCCTTTCGACCCGATTGGAAAGAACTTGAGGTTAAAAAGAAAGAGAGTACTACCACTCTTAGAACTCTCGGTAACACCAAGAGGAAGTCCTTATTTGATGAATATGGTAAATGTGTAGGTACAGATCCACTTGATATCAATGACTTGTCATGTCTAAATTACATTGGAACAAAACTCTTAGAGAATTTGAAAAGGAAAAATGCGATTTTAGAAAAAGAGAATCGTGCTCTTTCTCTGAAATTAGTTCAGCTGGAACAGGAAAGAGGCAAGGCGACAACGACTGTCTCTGAAGAAGCTCTGGAGAAGGAGACTCGCATGTCAGAGTCCGAAGCCGCTGAGAACACGAACGCTCCCACCGGTCCTTTCGGGGAACCTGACTTCGACGCAGCCTGGGCTAAGACAAAAGAGACAATCTCTCAACAGCTCCACAAAGAAGATGAGATCAAAAGAAGTCTGCCTTCTTCTTCCAGCGATTCGGATGACGACCCGGACGATGGCGGAAGCACCAATGCTCAGGCAAAAGAAGATGATCCTTTGGAACCAACTCCAAACACTCCTATTGGCAAACCTGCTAAGACCTCAGCCTCTGCTTGGTCAGCTTACGGGCACTTGTTTAAAGACATGAATGACAAACCAGCTGCTCAGCAGCCCAGGGTAAGGAAAGCCCAAGTTACAGACGAAGACCAAAACAACTCATCAACAACATCAACAACTAGTTCCACTCTTGACCCTGGGTGCTCGTGTACGGGAATGGGAATGAGGCCTGTCAAGAAGGATTTCATTGGTGGTCATTACCGGAAAGAGATCAAGACTGATGCTTTGGACTCAACCAATAGGCCGCCCAAATACAAGAATGATGAATTGATTGGGGAGTATGACCCCATAACTCGAAGGATCCGCATGAAGAGGCCGAAGACTCATAGAAACTGTCTACCTGAAGCTCCATCTTCTTCTTCTTCTTGGATGGTTCATCCAGATGCATTCCCTAATGAAAGGAATGCCAAGTCCAGGAATTACCCGGAACAAAGGAAAGAATTTGAATCAAGTCCATCCGCTCCTGAACCAAGGAATGGCGAGCTCGGTCACCAGTCTTCCCAGATCGGCCAATCTGAAGTGAAAGAGCAATCTTCGGTTCACTATGAGGCTCATCCTAAGTTAAAAGAAGAAAGAAAGAAAGATGATGAAAATCAGATGGTGGTGGTTGGCTCCGTTCCTGTCAAATGTCCTTCCAAGTATTTGTTTGATTTCTTAGAACAGCGGAATCGAATCCAGGATCGAATCAACAGGGGTTTACCTGAGGGAAATGAGCGCTTACCTAAGATGCCGGAGTGGGCCAGGAAACAGATCCTATTTTACCAGTACCAAGAGCGGAAAATGATCAATCAAGGTTTGCTCGAGGAATGGTACCCAAAGAATACTAAAGCAGAATCCCATTTCAATTGGGATACGTGGCACATATCGTGGTTCAAGGACAGCATACGGGCTAATCAATTTGAAGACTTGAAAAAAGAACGAGTGGTCAACAAAACCAACTATACACCTGAAAGCAAAGAAAAAGAGAATTGGGTGACACAATATGATGGGCTCCGAGGGTTGAGACTAGTCAAAACCAGTGAGGTAGAAATCCAACCTAAAGAAAGAAAACCCACTTTGGCTGAAACTCTTGGGCGGCCCATTACTTTAGCGGAAGCCCTCGCGGAAGACAGAAGGATAAGGGACGAGCAAATGCAAAAAGAGAAAGTGAACTCAACAAGGCCTAATTCTACAATTGGTCAAGAGAGCAAAGTGAAACTGTCACCAAGGTCTACTTATACAACTACAGATGGGACTCCAAATTACGATAATAATAAGATAATAGGGCCAGGGTTAGAGGAAACTAGAAAGATGGATTTACAGGATACTAGCAAAGAAAAGTACGAAGACTTATATTTAGACACCTCATAGCGGAAAGAAATCACAAGCAATGCATCCTCCTTACGGATGAATTAGTAAAGCATCTCAGAATCAGCCACTTTCTCTCCTCAGGTCAATGGTATGAGTACCGCAACTACAACGACTAGTTTTGAGGACCTTAGAAAGTAGAATTAGGCGACGTATGACTTCTTTTCTTAGGGCCTATCACTCTACCAGCGGCTCCATCTACACTGTATCCAACTAAGCAGAATAAGAGGAAGAGAAGAAGAAAAAGGCTAGCTCGAGATTGGGGGATGATGCAGTCTCGACTACTCCAGATTGACTGCTAGAGGGGGTCACTGATTACGATCTTACGGATATTATGAATCAAGATTCTCTTATACATCTTACCCACACGGGAAACCTCTCCCTTTGGACAAGCCCTCATTCTAGCATTTCTGACTATCCTTTTTTGACTGTTGCGGTTACGGCTAGACTACTGTGCTCAGATAACCAAGTCCTTGCTTCATTTTTCTTTTATTAAGAATCTTTTCTGTCTCTGTCTCTCCGATGAGTATAGAATGGTTACTTATACATCACTCCAGCTATGCTCTCACTTCGTTCGAGAACACCGTACCTTGAACTAACTATCGGTCGAGCTATAGGCTGCAGCTCATTCGCTTCCTTAGCATTTCACACTAATTCTAACCTCCCGTGGTTTAGCCAAGGAAATGAAAAGAACTCGGAACTCAAACTAACTTCTCTATTTCACTTCCTTTCTCAGGCTCAGGCCATATTCTTGCTTACATCAATTCTATGAAATGAAGCTTGACTTCACCCTGTCAGTTCGATTCTGTAACTAGCCAATCAGTAGCTAATCTGTAAACTCAATTCAACTTCTTCACTATCCTACGGAACTATAAGAATGAAGTCTCTGGCGGGATCAGAGAATAAGATAGCTTCCCCTTTCCCAGCAAAGGGAATAGCTAACGCCAAAAAGCCTATAGCTGCAATCGCTCCTTTCCTTCTTTCCTTCTTTCATGGGCCCAGAAGCGTACACAATCTCACTCCTCCCGCAAAGCAGCTCGAGCTACTTCCCTCCTGCGGACTGGAGGCTTTCTAGAGAGAGTGGATTCGGCTTTTTCTGCTGATGATTACCTTTTTTTAGGTAGGCGGGGAAAGGGTCTTAGCCAGTTCATGGAGGAAGATTTCCTGGGTTTAGCTGAGAACCTCTTGTCACCGGTAATGAGGGAAGGGTAGTACTACTCCTAGGCGAGAGCCAATAGGACCTACTCTTCATTTTCTTCTAATGGTGTATACAATAGGGACCCTTGAGGGCACTGCTGAACCTATTCCACTTATCCAAATGCTCAGCAAATGTCTTGTTAGGTCCGCAGACTGCCTTACAATAGAGTTGATAGCTTTGTTTCAACTGCTCGGTGATTTTCTTCCAACCTGCTACATTCCTAACCTCTGATGGGGGAGTGCCTCCAATTTTTAGAAATTTATCTAGAATAGGGTCTGGTATGATCTTATCATCAAAATACTCCAAATGGAAACCTCTATCATTTTGATAGTAGCCATTCTCTATAGCTGGTTCGATAAGATTTCTATAAATAAAACGGTTAATGATTTTCAGTGGGGGCCCCATATTCTTAATGACATATAGGTATAAAGAAGGCATATATTCACAACAATATGTATTAGTTATGAAGTTGTCGTGCACTGTGTACAGAGGTAGATCATATTCGCCCGCTAAGAACGCCATAGACATAGCTATTTGAGCATCTTTTTGATGAATGAAGTTCACGAATGTGGAGGTCCTACTTTTTCTCTTATCCCGCACATTAGAGGGATACGAGAGTGTGACTTTATGAGGCTTTCTCAACTTAGAGTTGAACACTCTAACAGTGTGTTTTTCCATGATTTTATAATCCTGTGATGTGCTAAAATATACCGCGTCGTACAAGACAGGTCGCTCTAGGGAAGAGCAGGCTCGACCTACCAGGCCGATCAGACCGATAAATGAATTCATATAACTATATCTTGTTTTCCAAAATTGGAAGCATAAAGCCGCCAGTTTTGGACATTCTTTTGGCAAGACGTCCTGGAAAAGACTCTCTTTAAGATCCTCAGTTGTGCTATTAACGGTTTTACCATAGATTATGGGCATATAAATCTGCTTAACTATACTCCTAGTTATGACCCGATCCAAGATAGCGCATAGCTCCGGATTCACGTCACGAAGAGCGACCTTGAGGAATTCAATTAATTCAAGTCTGATATTAGAATAGATGTCAAATATCTCTCCGCCGTTAATAAGATTGGTTAGTAACGCATAACTTTCATCAAGGAGGAAATATGCCATCAGTTGATAAGCGCTAGCGCTAGCATCCTGAGTTACAGGAACTGTTTGATACAGGTCGGGTAAAAAGAGACTTTGACACCTTTTTTTATCGTGCCTCATCAAAAAGAGATGCATATTCGAGAAATATTGGAAAGGGTGTTTAGCCTTCTGTGAATCACTCAAGAGAGCTTTTATATAATCCACCTCACTATCCCATTCGGAGGGCACCCTCAAATAACCTATGCTGTCGTTCGCGTCGCTTAAAGCCTCAAACTCATTATTATATGATTGATAGTGAAATCTAGTAGCGGTTACATATATTTGAAATAATTCTTTATCATTGTTAGAGGTTAATTGAGAACCTTTTTTACAATCAAAAAGTAGTAGACTTCGGGCTAAATCCCGTTCGTGGAAGTGAAAAATGCCACTGCGGTAGATTCGCCCTCTGAAGTCTAGAAATGCCGGAAAGTAAAAAGAATACCCATTGTAAGCCTTAGCAAGATCTAGAATTGTACACTCATAACGAGCCTGCTGCATATTCCTCATCAATAGAGAGCACACATCATTAAATGTGTATATACTTTCTATATCTCGATTCTTATTAAAATGTCTTCTAAGTATCCCAGTGGCACGGGGAAGTATAGCCTTGGAAAGAAATTCGGGCATCAAGAAGCCATAATCTTCAAACAAAGCCCTATGATTAATAATACAATTAAGGAGTGGACTATTTATTTTAAATGCTTGACGCTGTAAGCTACTGATGGAAGTACAAAGTCTCTTTAGCTTTTCATGACTTTTTGAATCCTTATTTTGTCCGAAATAGATGAAGAAATTCTTAGCATGGGGTGTACTCATACACCGCTGAGTGCTGTAGATTTGGCCAGTAGGGTTGCTTAAATAACCACCATAGATATCAGAGATATATAACCACATTCGGTCGTGCTCAGGAAGGCGGGGCTCCCAATCTTTTGGAGGAAATACCATTGGTAGACTTAACTTAATAGGAAGTAAAGCGGTGTTAAACAAGCATTCGGCATAAACAAAAGAGTTCCTATAATAACCTTTACCCTTTTTGACTACCCTTTTGACTTTAGGAATACCCCCGTCTAATACATTTAATTCATCCTCATTATATGTTTTCAAACGCAATGGATCACGAGTCACTAAAAATTCGACTAATGCAGTACCAAAGGGGTACGCTTTTGTTTTGGCTTTAGTATCATCAACAGCTTCCTCCGCAGCATCTTTTGGCTTATTGACCATACTATTATCACGCAAGAATGAGGCATAAACCCGGACATTAGATTCTATACGTTCAACCAAACCAGCCAGACTAACAGAATTATCTAGATTAAACAGTTGGCCAAGGGTGTGAACCAGTAGGCACTCTAGGGTATGCTCGCCAAACTCTTTCAACAAAGACTGGTCACTATCAGAGAGTACAAATCGGAGATTCTTAACATCGGCAGAAGAAAGCTCTGGGGCGAACTTTTCATGTCCACAACCACTTTTAGCATAAATAGTCATTCTACCGGTTTTATCCGTAAGATACTTCCCACGAAGGTATTCTTTGGCACTTGGCATCTCCGTTTTAGTTAACATTTCCATGATGTTAGGACATGCCTTATACAGAGACTCCTCAGAGTAGTTCAAAGTAAGCTCCTCAATCTCTCTCTGTAGCATTTCATATGATTTTTCATCTTTCTTCTCAAATCTATACCTGTCAAGAAGAGTAAAGACCGTCTCCTTATACGTTTTAACAAATTCTTTTCTATGCACATTTATAATTCTGGTATTAGGATCAACAAATTCCTCCTTAGGGTCTTCCACATGATATTGTGAATTCTCCTCCTCATTTAGAGTATCCTCGTAGATATCCTTTAAAGCCTCTTCCCAGAAAGTTTCAATCTTTGTTCGTTTAATGCTTTCTGCCTCATCCTGTTTTGTACTATCTATGGTTTTAGCAAAGTGTGATATCCATGTATAATTACAACTATGATTCGAGAGTACAATGAATTTATTTGATCGTATCTTACCTATATAATATAGAAATATCATCATGTTGTTATTTATTTTTTTCAGGAAAAAGCCAGGTCTTTTGCTCCTTCCGGAGATTTGCACCTTATACTAGATTCCTCTCTGTTGACGCATGTCTGTTCAGTTGTTAACTCGTACCATTAATTGAATATGATATTCTTTCATAGGACCCTTTCAACCATGAAATCGGTACAAGCCAGACAGCATTGAGCACAAAGACTCTTAACAGGGATTGTCTAGTATCCCTACCATAAGATAAGATGTGGAGTAGGGTCGCAAATTTCTTTTCCCTTAAGGTCTCAATTATTAACTATGTACTCGAAGAGAAAAGTTTGAAAGCAAAGCTACCTTCCTTCTATTCTTTCAGTTGTTCGCTACTTCTTTATCTGGTATTGAGTTCATAGACCACAATCTAAATGTGATTCCGACACCTGACGAAGACCTTCGACGTGCTGCTGCTAATCTAGGGAAGCAAAGTCGTAGTTAGTAGCCCATTACGGAAAGCTAGCTGAACTCTTTTCTGTCTTACGTAGATAAGAAGGAATGGGATATAGCTTCGCTTCTTCTTCTGCTCGCTACCGTCGATTAGCTCGACCAGAGGAAGGAAGATTACGGGGTTTAGTTCGAGAATTCCCAATCCGTCATTCTTCTTCTTAGTCTTTCTTGGCTAATTAACTAGCTCATCCTTTTCAATTAGCTGCTTTCCAGACTCGGAAAAGAGGGCTTATTGGATAATGCGATGGAGGTTAGCTACCTTCGTCACTCATCAGTTAAGGCATCGTTCGCTTCGGATCAAAGTGACACATCTAAATCCGAGCAAGGCCTCAAAAGTGGATTCAACTATTCGTCATATCGGAAAGGTGGGATTTCAAGACAAGGTAGTTTGTGACGGTTCTTGCTACCTCTTTAGAACGAAGTTTACCTCTACTATAGTATAGTATAGTACTCAAAAAACTTCGTTCCTTGAAAGCGCTCTCTGCTTGATCTGGCACTACTACTATAAATTCGGGTGATAGATGAAGGCGTTGGTCCATCGGTGCCATCTGCGCCAGTGTATAAAAAGACATTTGCAATTTTTACAGTAGCGAGGAGAGCTTATGGACAATAAATTAGGATTCCGGCGGCTTTTGCCACTTATGATCAGTGTTCACAAGAGAAAGACGGTTCAATGTCTTACAATGTTCAAGCAGCATTCTTGCCGGAAGGATTTTTTAGGAACCCCGGACACCTACCGAACATCCCTGAAGGATGGAACAACATGATGAAGAAGGCGGCGAAAGTATAGAGGAAAATCTGGGAAGAGAACAAGGAGATCTCTGAAAAGGGGGGGCAAGGAAGTAGTAGAAATGTTGAAGAGGAGACAACCCGCTCTTGAACTTAAGACTATGCGCGTCGCGTGCTCGATCTAGCAATTGTTTTGATTGATGAACTGTCATTTTTCATTCCCTGGGCTTTCTTTCCATCCTATGGCTTGAATTCGGGTCGTTGGCTCTAGACTACGATTCGATAGAGAACGATTTGGCACATCTTCGATTTCCTGGTATGAAAGTAGTTAGGCTTGGTTTTCTTTGAGTTCAAGATATTCGGCATAAGCCGTCTTTGCTTTTTCTCTTATCGATGTGATCCTTGTCTTTAGCTTGGCACCAGGGCGGCTTGACTCTTGCTTATCGATCTCTATTCCTCCTCGTACATTAAGCAGAGCAGGGAATAGGAATAGTCAAAGAAAAGGTCTAGAGCAAGAGAATCTAGCTAGTTCGATTTGAACTAATCCGAATCCGGCTATTCGGGAGGGACTGATTTTCGGCAGTATGGCTAGTTTCCTTCCCCCTTATTTAGAGGGGTTGTTAGCAAGTTCAGTTAATCAATAGTAGAAGATATCCCCACCCTCTTCTTTTTTACCTGCAAAGTGACCTCAGCCGGCATTCCAGAGACCTTTGTTCTTTGAAACGGCTTGGTTGACTCATACTCATAAAGAAAGAGTTTGGTGAATTTGTGAAGAAAAATTGGAACTGAGGGGCGCGTCTGGTGGTATCGTATATAAAGGAGGCAACTTTTTTTGGAGGGGAGCAGAGCGACAAAGTAACCTTTACTTTATTTAATGAATCAAAATCACCCATCCATAATTGATTCTAACCCATTGACTGATCACTCTCAAAATGTATTATACGATTTGTTTGCCTTTGTATTGAGGGAGAATCCTTGGATTTTGGCTTTCTTTCTTATCTTTCTATCCCTGCCTGTATCCTATCCTTAGAGCTCCCCTTTGCGTTGATTATAGGCCTTTTCTTTGCCCTTTGGGAGAGGTAAGGTATAGAGCTTGAATCCCCCAGCTGACATTTTATTCTCCATTGGGCATCCTCATGACATCTACTTCTTTAAAAAAAAGAGAAAAAGCTTTTGCCGCTCTTTCCTTGCCTTTCTTTCGGGATATCATAGAGCTAATTCTAGACTTTATATCCTCCCTCGTCCCACATCCGATTCTCTTACTTTCGCTTGTGACCTGCTGACGGTCTTATTACCATCTAAGAACCACTGACTGGCTTCTTTGCTTGCTTGCTACTCTAAAGCCTTCTCCTTTCACTCTATTTCAGTTAGAAGAGCTAATTGAAGACTCACATGGATGAGGCTATACCTATCTTATATCTAATATGGGAGACAGAACCAGTTGAAATACTTGTTTACTCCCTAAAGGGAAAATTCCAGTAGTACCGATCAACCTTTCTGTGAACTCCTTTCCTTATTATCACACTATCAATTGGAGTTGAAAGCGAGGAAGACTCCCATAGTATCAGCAAGAGCTAAGGCACCGGAAGCTTCATGTACAACCGGGTAATCCATCATCCAATATAGTACTTTCTCTTGATATCCCCCCGGGAAAGCATGATGCCTTACTTGCCCCTGCTCGATCTGTTCTGGACCGCATAAATAAAGGAGAGGCTCCCTTCCTTACTTATATTTATCCTCGATCTTCTTCAACAGCAAGGGGCGCCGCCCTCCCCCTTACCACACTTATTCCACCCTCTGACCGAAGACCAAGCCAATCTCGATAAGTAAAAAAAAGAACGAAACTCGATCAATCCATGAACTAGAAACTTATCCACCCTCTGCTAAGCTAACAGCAGCTTTCTTCTCTTACGCTAAACTCTTTCTTTTCTTATGCAATTTCTAGTTTGTCATTCGGGGCGAAAAGGTAGTTTCAAAGCGTTCAAGCTTCGGTTTCACATGCCAATTGGCAACTGTTATATTTCGTATCATCCCACCCAGACCTATACTACGCTATTTCACCAACGATCATATAATTACTGAAAAAGACAGACCCTCTTTTGAACAGGAAAATTTGGTCACATAGATCTTCTTTCCTACAGTAGCAGATTCGGCTAGTGATCAGTACCCTCTCTTTCTCTTTATTCCCATAGAAAGATTCTTCTATTCAGAAAGTCTCGGATTGGCTGAGCTTTCAAAGAAATAGGGATCGTGCTACGATCCTTCTGGGCTGCCTATTCTAGAGTATCCCATGGCTCCCTGGGCATGATACTGGACCCTAGTCATCTCTTCTTTTCAGAGCATTCACCTCCGAAGATCCCGGGTCTCTTCCCATTGGCCTTAGGCCGGGTCTCTTTCTTTCCAGCCACAGTTATAGTCTTTCTCGCCTTATAAGTTCTTCTCCTCGTGATCCAGTGCCGTTGCAGCCAATGATCAAACCAGTGAAAGAAAGTGTTACATTCCAGCGCGTGTAATTCGTGCTTCCTACTAGGATTTGCAGTTCTAAGCTAAGCACATGCAGTCTAAGTTTCGGAGGAATCCACTTGAAGTGCTTCCCCATCTTGCTTGACTCCAGTTTTCACTTTCTTACTTTACTTATGGAAAAATTGGAATATATGTTACCCTACTTCATATGAATAGGAATAGAGGAGAGGGATGTTCTAACTCGACCCATGAGAGGAAGGGTAGAGATCGATTAGGGGAGGAAGCTAGTATAAGTCTTTGTACCTGTATCAATAAGAGCAGCCTTCGTAGTAGTAGTTGCATTACCAACAGTTTCATTTCCTACTTTTCTGCGAGTTTCTCCAGAATAGTAATATCCCGGGGAGGTCTAACGTTTTTTTCCCTTTACCCTTTAGCAGGAGTCTCAATCAATAGCAAGCGAAAGAAGGGGAGGAGGATCGAATAAGCCTGCAGTATATAATAAGTCCCCTAACAGCATGTATACCTTAAGGGAAAAGAAATTTACGACCCTACTCCACATCTTATCTTATCTTATGGTAGGGATACTAGACAATCCCTGTTGAGAGTCTTTGTGCTCAATGCTGTCTGGCTTGTACCGATGTCATGATTGACAGGGTCCTATGACAGAATATGATATTCACAAGAATGGTACAAGTTAACAACAGAACAGACATGCGTCAACAGAGAGGAATCTAGTATAAGGTGCAAATCTCCAGAAGGAGCAAAAGACCTGGCTTTTTCCTTAAAAAAAAGAAAAATAGGATGGAAAAGGACATCATCGACGCGCGAACGGTTAAGGCAAAGGCAAGAATAGCATATCCGAACAGCTTCCCCAAGTCGTAGGAAGACTACGGAACTAAACAAAGAGCTAAATACGTAAGCAATCCCAATTCCTGCTTTCCCCGAAAAGGCTATAGTCACAGACCCACAATCAGCCAAGTTCATTCAGTAGACATCAATACCTTATCTTCTCGCACGGGGAAAGAGATTCCCAGCCCAGAGTGGAGAAACTCAATAAATCCATCTTGACTGTTGAATCTAGCTGACTCCTTTCCTCGAGTGAGGTTTTTTTTATTTTAGTCGCTCCTTAGCTCCTTTCGTTGAGACCTCGTTGCGCTACAGATTAAAAGAGTGGAAATTCCCTGACTGAAAAAGAGGAGATAGAAAGTTCTCATTTCTCCGATACCTTCCCCGAATCTAGTTACCGAGTGAGCAAGAAAAACCTGCTCTTGGCGTGAGAAAAGGGCTCCTATCTAACAGGTCTGCTAAGGGGGGCTCATTCCTCTTCGTTAAAGGCTGACTCCTCGACAACTGAGGAAGAAAAGAAAGAATCAGAAGTCTCTCTCGCTATGCTTTTATGAGTGGATTTGAGAGTGCGGCATAGCTGGAAACTCCAGAATTTTAGGAAGGTTCTAACCTTAATGAAAAGGTAAGTTTGAAGAGAGATTGGGAAAAGTTCCCGAGTGTGAGTATCCAACCCCCTTTTGAAAGGATCTTTCTGCTTTTTAGTTTCCTAATATGTGTGTACATATTGATTGTATCAGTACTACCAGCGAGCTAAGAGCTAACCCCTTTCTTTTCCTATGGCGTTTTAATACTCACCCCTGAAAGTGAAATAGAGATAGAGAGAATCTATTAAGTTGGAAGGCGGAAAGAAGCACTGGCTAAGACTTTCATGGAGATGGGGCATACAGGGCAAGTGTACTAGCATATGAGTTTCCAGCTTTTGAATTAAGGTTTGTCAAACCCTAAGCTGCTACTTAGAAAGGGGGCGTAGCGGGTAAGGCAAAAGAAAAGGTGTCCGCCTAAACTACTGCCACTTTACTTTAGGATAAGGTTTTTGCTTCGAGCAGCTCTCGGGCATTGATTGAGGAAGTAGCCCAACCTTTTTTCATCTACGCAAAGAGGAATTACTTCTTCTTTTTTTCGACCGGAAATGGTGCATCTAGATCGATTCCTAAGGCTGGTAATGCCGAATCAAGGATAAGGCAATACAGTCAGAAAGGAAAGCTATTCATCTTTTGTCTTTGAAGAGAAAGACAGATTGGATTGTACGAACATCTGTGCCAAGCTTAGGTAAGCCGTCCAGAAAAGAGACAAAGAAAGACCTCTCAAAAGCCGGTGCTTAGGCAGACGTCCCCAGGTAAGAGCAGCCTTTCTCTTATATAGGAAAGCACTACTGCCACTTTCTTATGTGAATACCGGGTTCTTTCACTCCTCAATCTCACTCTTTAGTGAAAGTCTCTATTTCACTTTCAATAAGCAGTCTACACAAAATATAGAGGTACTTTTTCCACTTCGCATATGGGCTTTATATTCTCTACGGCGTCAACCATAAGTTTGCGTTCAGTTTGAGCTGGGAAGTCAACTAGGTTTTGCTATTCCTTATCGAGCTTCTATTTCATCCCTTAAAGGAGATTCGGGAAAAGATAGAATAGGAAGACGTGTTTCCAGAACAAACAAGATACGGGTTGAGAGGGGGAAGTTAGCAAAGTTAGACAAGATTGGAATGGGCATAGGAACATGTATTGATGTACCAGATCGGCTAATGCTCCCAGGTTGATGCAAAGTATTCCACCAGTTGACTGAAGACTTGATTATTGGTATATCGATTGGTCCAGCACGGATTGAAATAGGAGCCGGTTCGACAGGAAGCTTTTGAAAACGCAGTGCACCCAGGTAAATCAGAAACGAGATGAATACAGAGGTTAAACGAGCATCCCACACCCAAAAGGTGCCCCACATAGGTCTTCCCCGAAACCCCCCAGTAACTAAGGTAAACAACGTAAAAAAAGCACCCATTTCTGTACCGGTTCCGGAAGAGCGAAGAAAAAGGGGATGTTTTGTTAATAGGAATAAGAAAGTGTTTATAGCCGTAGCGATATAAACAAGAATACTCATCCGAGCCGCAGGAACATGTACATACAGAATACGAGAATTTCCACCTTGTTGAAGATCTAATGGTGCTACCCGAAGACTTAAATGAATAGCCATCGCTGTTAAGAACAACCGAGATCCAATGAGAATTAGCGCATAGCTTCTGGTCTTTGACATCAAAAAAGAAGGTTGTAATAACGAAAGGGACATCTGAGAATTTTGTCCTAGCTAGTGGAACAAGAAAGACATGGATCTATATTCAATACGCAAAAAAAGGATTTTTCCCAACGAAGAATTCCCCCTGCTTAGTTTTCGCTCCGCTCGTGCGTGGCACTCCTTGCTCGCGAAGCGGCATACCGAAAATAAATAGATCCCACTGCACTGAAGCTAGTACGAAATGAAGACCAACCCACAAGCTGGTTAGTGACATAGTACCGATTCTTTCTTACGCATTTCTCTTTTTCTTTTCCATTTTATGATTGGGGCCTCCTCCTTCCTCCGTCTCTTTTTTTCTGCAACGGCTACAGACGCATGTTGATTCGATAGTTGACCCTCGACCTAAAGAAGTAATGATTGACTGCAACCAGATGAAGAAGTAATGCACTAAACGAAAGAATGAAGAATTATGACCTATCGCTTCGCTCGAGTCACTACGTACCTTAGCCCGTAATGTGAGCAAATATATCATGTCTATTGCTAAACATCGAACCCATATTAGCCCATTCGCTCCCCTGAAAAACAAAGCCATGCGCCGTCCGGAAACAAGTAGTTGTTCAATTGTCACGAATTAAAAGACGTACAACAACCGTCAAATAAGGGCAGTTCTAATCAGTGACGTTCATCGTAATAGAAAGTATTCACATCAGTCAGCTGGTTCATGGTACGAGATTTAACAACAGGGTTTTCAGCTGACGACAGAAGCAAGATTAAGAACAAGCAACAAACACATCTTTCCGCTCTTCTTCTTTCAGTTAGTAGGGGAGCTACTTCCTCCCAACTAAACTCTACCCGGGGGGATCCCTTATCCCCGTTGAGTACTCCTTTCTTTTCTTCCTATTCACGCCCTTCGCAATGACACCAAATTCTCCTTTAGGTGAAGAAAAATTTGAGGACGGTAAGGAACCCGATTTGAATACCGAGCCCCATAAGCCAATTTGAATATAGAGACAGAGCTGCCGATCCGGGATTTCATTGGGTCAGAAGGACGCCTAATAGAAGGAAATAAACAACGAGGAGGGTTTGGATGCCCTCTCTCTTATTCGCGAGAAGTATGTAGGACAAGGGCTTCTTGCTCCTTAGGGCTTTCAAAAGAAAGAAGGTCGCGAAGATTCCATTGGAGAGAAGGAAAACCGAACTTATTAGAAAAAACGTCATTACTGATTTAGCTATATAATAACCTATTAAACAATTGCTTATTATATTATATAGAAGAAAAATGCAATTATTAGTTCAGTTCTTGTTTCCGAAAAAAATGAACCTACATAAAATGAGAACCTGTAGGGAGTAAATCCCTATAATGAACCTACATAAAATGAGAACCTGTAGGGAGTAATCCCATAACCTAAAATAAGAAAGATTTTGGATAACAAAATCCCTTTTCTTTTGGCCTGTCTCTATCTACCGGGTCCAATGGGTGCACCTGACTGTCCCCAGTTCAGTTGGAACAGAAGTCACCAACATTCATAGGTGGGGAGCTGGACTGAGGTCTCCCTATTCCCTATATAGAAAGACAGCCCGGAAGGAATCGAGAGATGCTCCTACCCCACCACACTTCCCAACAACTCAAGTAAAAGCCTGACTATTGAGATAGGACGAGCTAAGTCAGCAGCATCTTCTAACCTGAGCTGATATCTATACTCGCAAAAGCTCACAATGACGGGGAAATAAATACATTCAACACTCGATATTCTCCAACCACTAGACCAGAGGTTCGTCTTTCATCTTCCGTACGGGAATGGAAAGCTTCCCGGCCACTTCCTGATCTCAGAGATTTGATGAAAGGGATTGTTCACAGCACGAGTTCTCACCTTCGACCTGACATACTGCTCTGAATATTGCCTGCGCTACTTTTCCACATCACTTGACTTTGCCAAAGGCATGCCAGGGAATAGATTCACCAGATAAATGAAAAAGGAAAAGATTCAAACCTGAGAGAGATACTGAACACATTCCATTAGATGAAAGAGACTCTATAAAAAGATAGGGATCACAGCCCAATCCAAAAGACCTTGAACACTAGACTTCATCCCATGGAGAGAGAAAGATCCAGTCGGATGGGAGAAGACTTTCATTACTAGAATCAATCTATCACACGTTGGGATCAGCGGGAAGCGAAGGTCAAGGTTCAGAAGTAGCCAGCCATATGCTGATCCTCCCTGAACCCTTAAAGACATCAGCTTAGACAACAGCAACTAGAGCAGGAGAAGAGGGATAAAAACCAGCATGCATTGTTCACAGCACGAGTTGTCACCGTCTAATCCTTTCATAAAAGACATTCACTGACCCACGTAGGACTGCTGAATGGAATGATTCCTCCCCCGAGGGTGATGGAAGGGGGGGCACGACCCGATCTAAGATTACTCCCTGAGCAGAGTCTGACTTTTCGAAAAGAAGAGAGGAAGGGGCGTACCAAAAAGTTCTCCAATTCGATGAGGACAAGCAGGCACAACAATCCCAGGAAAGGTTCGAAGCACGTAGTTGCAAAGCTAATATTCAGAAGTTCAGTTCGTGAGATAGCTCCCCGGACCAGAGATTTTGGATAGATTCCTAGTACCGACCTTCCGTTCAGTGTAGGGAATGGAAGGGATGGGATTTGCCCCAAGCCAACAAGGAAGCAAAGTACCGGTGCTATCAGTACAAGTATAAGCCGGATCGTACCACACGGGAGAGGCATGAAGTTCTCGACCAGAGGAATGAGACTAACTAATAAGAATCACTCTTTCTAAAAGAGATATTCAATCACTCAAAGGAGAACTCGAGTTAAGCGTATTTATTCAATCTTACCAGTGCGCGAACCCAAAGGAGCAATCAAAGGGAATAGCCTTCCCCTCTCCCAGCAATCTTAGGTTCGGATCCTGATCCTGGGTCGAGCCTCTTCCTTTTCAGTCGCCCTCTACAACTAAGTCAGTTGAGCTCTTTCGGCTCCTAGACCTGCTGTGATCAACCAACTTTCGAGTTCGAGCCCATCAGTGGGGGAAAAGACAGAAAAGATAGAGTTATCCCATCTTCGCAAAAAGAGCAAAAGTCGAATTGCATAAGTGATCCATAAATGTCTCTTCGTTATAGGCGAAGAAGAATTCCCGGGGACCAGACACTACTTTCTTTTTATTCGATTTTCTCGTCTCATGTCTTTTCTTTGTCCCGGAAACCTTAAACCTTTTTCAGGCCCAAAGAAAGAAAGGCTTCCCATAAAAATAAAAAAAGGGATTTCTTCTATTTGAATTGAAGGACCTCGCCCGAAGTTCTTTTGCTTTTTCGTGCTGCCGTTTCCAGATCTTTCAGCTATGCGGCCTTCCAGCGGAATAAGATGGGGTGCACTGGCCCCAGAGCAACCTATGAACTAAGACTTTGAATTTCAAAGAATCTTTGAATAAGATAGGCTTTTCATTCTCATTCTAGTGGTTAGAGCACCTCCCCTCCATTCCATTCTAATGATATTAACATACCCTTTGTTAGCCATCTCTGTGAGTTCAATCCGGGGAAAGACCTCTATTTGGTAGTTCATCTAAGGCTTTTTAATTCTCTATCTAGCTATCTCGCATCAGTCCAATCAACAAGCATTCCTTCTTCAACTACGGTGAGTTAAGATAGGAGTCCTTTTGCTCCAGTTAGACAAGCAAGGGCGAAATAGAAAAATCAAAAAGCTCCGTCTGGAAAATCAGAGTAGGCTAGGGCGAGAACCAATAGAATATAACGAACAAAGGAATGGGTCTTCACCACAGGCTGGAAAGCAAATCCATCAGGTACCCTAGAGCAATGAGTCTTCGATGCCGAGTTCTTGATGGGCCGAGAAAGAACGATGTCCGGCATGGATGCCTTCTCTTCCCCGAGCTACAAGGACAAGGAAGCATTCTTTCAATGTGTCCTATGGGAAAATGAAGATGGATCATTTGATTCCACTTCTCCGTTCTAGGACATCCTTTTAGCAGAATGAGTGGGAGGCTAGATCGATGCTTTCCCAGTAGATCGATATAGAGAATCAGAGGACTCACTCTATCCAATAAACCGGTAGAAGTCCCACTAATAGAGTGGTGATCTTCCCCTTAGGGGTTAACAAGACAAAGATTCCACAGAAGCAGAATAACAAGTCTTAGGGGTTAACAAGACAAAGATTCCACAGAAGCAGAATAACAAGTCTATAGGTCATGAAGGCATCTGGGATGCTGGCTTTGACGAGTAAAGGCAGTTCCTCTTTCAACAAGGGTTGCGGACAATGCCTGTTCTTCTTCTTTGATGATTCAATTTGTAGATGTCCCAGTGGACAGATCAAACAACGAAGCTCTTTCTCGATGTCAAGAGCATAGATGACATCTTTCTTTCTGGTTTGCTTTGCAGTTAGGCCTCTTTGTTTGGTTACGGGTCTCTCCCCTCCCCTCAGAATGGTATCTGATTCAGGATAGCCTTTTGCCTGGCCGGTTTCCCAACCTCTTCCCACGCCCGGAGGCTTTTAGCTTCTTTCTCTTTACTTTAGTAGCTCGTGCTGATCTGGCTCAGCGAGGCCTTGATCCATATATCATTGAAAAAGGCTAGCTCACCCAACCGGAAAGCACCTTATTAATGAGTGAAGGCTGCTAGGGCTAGGGAGAAAACATACGAAGAATCGAAGGAAGAACTCCGGGTAGAAATCTTAGCTATACAGCAAAGCAACTACTCTTCCATAATGATGGGAAGAGAGTGAAGAACAAACTCTGACAAACTCAAGTCAAACACACTCTTATGTTTCAATTAGGACTGTCCCGGGCAAGGATGTGAGCCGGTTGCCCTTTTCTGTAGACACTGATATGGAACCGAAGACTGACTCTGTGGTCACTGAATCTGAACTATAACCAACCGGCAAGGACGAACCAGAGAGATGAGCCTGATTACATTCAATAGAAGCCTAATGGAAAGAAGTCCCTTGACCTGATAGAGAATTCTCTTTGTTTCAAAATGGTATAGAGATCCCGTGTTGAGAAACTGACTCCGTCAGAGCTATAGTGAGAATCATAGTTGATACCATTATCACATAGTCTTTCTTTTTTTCTACATTATGAAGTTTGAGTGGGTCAAAGGATGATAGGGGAAAGAGAATGCCCCAAAGATGAGCATGGGCAGGTGCCCAGCCACTGGGAAATGAAAATGAATCCAATTCAGATGCCAGTTTCGGGCTCAATCCTTCCATAAGCCTTTTCGTCGGAAATCGGATTCGAGACTGATTCCAGAGTCATAGACATCTGCAAAGGCATCAAGCCAGTCTGTCCTTTCCGCTAATTGCTTCTCTCGCTTCCTATGGAGTCAAAAAGGCTGTCAATCAGGCTACTTTTGACTGCCATATGAATGCACACCCAAGGGAAAGAGCTTCCAATCTTGTTGCTACTCTTCCATAAATGGTAGTTCAATAGATGCTTCGTCACTTCCATTCTACTACGTAAGGGGAAAGTCACATCTATGGGAATCTCGCTACGAAGGAGCACATCTCAATCTGTCTATTCCAATCTATGTTCTTGCATCTCCGATCTAGCTACGGAGATTGATGGTAGGTACTCTGACTTATTCTTATTCTATTTAGAGTGCATAATAGGGGTATAAAGTGAGCCTGTGAAAGAGCTTCTCTGAGTTCCATGTGGACCGTAGGATCTCTTCCAGGGGACAGCAAGGCTAGCTCTATTGGTTCTCGTTCTCGTTCCCGCTACCATATGAACAGCAAAGCCAGTCTCTGGCCCTTCCCTAATGGTTAGTTCAGAATTGGGTTCTGTCTATTCGGGGCAGAATGAGCTCATCTTGGGACTAGTTCTTCTGCTTCTTTCCGGTTGAAGAATGAGGACTTGCTTTGTGCTAACTGCTTAGCTGCATTCTTTCCTCTCGCTTTGGAAAGCCCGTAGCCCAATCCCTCGGCCCGAGCATGACTTCTGGAACTTGCCTCAGGGACTTACCTCAGGTCTGGGCTGGATTGATCTCTGACATCCTTAGTTGCAGACTGAGTGTGATTGCTTCGAAGATGACCTCGAGATGGATTAGCTCCAGCTGTTGTCCCAACCCTGTGACCCGGGCTTGTTCTCTGCGAGGCTCTTTTCCTTAGCCCATAGCGAGGGATGACCAATCAAGAATGGAAGTGGGCTCAAATCAGATGATTTTACTGCAATATCTATTGATGTGCTAAAGGCTTAAAGCTCTGTTCAAAAAGAGAGATTTGACTGCCATGACATAGGCTTTCTACCTAAAATCAAACGAAATTAAAGATTGAATCGAGAAGGAAATGAACCTAATATAGCTACTTGGTATGACTAGAGAGACCACTCCGACCCCCATGGCTCCCCGGGCTTACCTATACTCTAAAAACTTTCATTCTATCTGATGAGAGCACATTTAAGGGGCACCGCTTTTGCGGAGCATAGCCTTTGGGGCAGGTTTTTTCCTCCCGATCAATATGAGCACGATCAGGCCATAGAAGACTCGGATCAAAGCAAACCTCCAGATTCGGCGCAGTTAAGTCGACAGCCTCAGATAGGGTCAGCTCATCAGAGATTGTTCGGAGACACCTCTTTCTACAGGGGAAAGATTTTTTGCCACGGCTTCGGAATCAGCATCGCCGGTTAACATCATTGGTTTCAGTTTCAACTTTGGCAGTCGGCATTCCCCTAGAAGACTTAGACTACGTCAGAACGATTAGACCTTTGCAGAACAAAAAGTCGAAGCGTCCCAATAGGATGCATAGCGGCAGGAGGAGTTGGATTGGTTGACATGGGGCTAGATGATATAGCCAGTGTTCCGCGAGGGACCAAAGGGTATCAGATATGTAACGTAACATCCAAAGGGTATGATTTTGTAATTGTTATGTGCGTTCTCAAGGGGAGATCTTGAATATCATAAGAAAAGAAAAGAAAGTTGCCTAGTTCTGATGAAAGCTATGCTAAAAAAAAGGCTACCCGAGTTCGTTTAGTTGCGTTCCCTGTCTTCATTGAGATTGGGTTGGTCTTCAGGGTACCTGAGTACAAGATCGAAAAAAATGAATGCATTTCAAGTGAGATGTCCAAGAGAAAAGGAACGAGGGGAAGAAGCGACGAGAACATAAAATCGTGAATGAAAGAGCGTGAGGAGACTTTCTCAATGAGAGATGTTCTGGAGGGTTGTCGATACAATCATTACCTGTTTTTACAAGAGATCAAGGGAAGAACAACGATCGCCATACGTAAACGAAGAAGTGCTAAATGTCCCTAAAACAGAAATGATGGAACGAATAGCTGAGGTAGTAAAGGCTGCGCAGAAAGAAAGAGAAAAAAAAAGGCGTGAGGGCTATAAAGCTGATTAGGGTGGGTGGGATCACGATTGACTAAAAGGAAAGTCGCCCGGAGATATTGGTTCAAATCCAATTCGTGAGAAGAATCCAAGTGAGATAGGCCCATATGCTGGAGGCTCTATCATACATCAATTATAAGTTCAAGACGGGCATCCCCATATATCGGTCTTAAGCGAACTCTTTCCGGCAGCGTCCTATTTGGAGGACTCACAGAAATCCCTCGGGTAGTGCCACAATCTGTTCTGCGTACAACAATGTGTTGAACTACTTCAACAAGTCTGCGTGTAAGATATCCAGCATCAAGGCCGAAATACATGCACACGAAAAGACTAGCAACAGTAAGGTAAGGATTGACTTTCCCCGCCACTCCGTCAAACAAATAGGCTTAATGCCTTACTATAAAGGAGGAATCCGAAAGAATCAATCATCTGGAAACGAATATTTTATAGATGCATGGGATCTTCTTTTATCGACACGACAGCAAGAGCAGAGCAGGGAAGGAGCTGTGAGGTATTACCTGTAGGTTGAGGAAGAGAAGTAGACAAAGATGACGCTAGTCTTTTCGCCTTTGCTTCTGCGGGCACAGATGTTTTCAAATAAACTAACTGTTTGCGCGCCTTTTCGCGGAATGATTTCACATTAGTAAGGTAAGGAGAAAGGGGGTCTATCGATAAGAGCTTAGGTGAAGGCTCGAATAGCTTAGTTGAAAGACTCTGTATGGGATGTTCTTTTTATAGAGTGATAAACAGAGGGATCTTGCTTTTAAAAGCCATAGTCAGGCAGAAGGCAGTGTGCAGTCAGCCAGTAGATGACGCCAGAGAGGGATTTGTCAAAGCACATATAGGAGCTCTACCACGATATTCTTTCTCTCATTGAGAAAGCGCTATCAAAGCCGCTGTCCCAA